ACCCCCGTAAGATGTGGAGACACACTTCATTGAAAACCTACGTGATTTACTAAGACAGGGCTTTCTGCAGAACCCCGTAGGGGGCTGTGCAGAGAATACAGGTCGACATCAAGCCTTCAGAATTCACAGGTACCATTCGACAAGAATGCTGTAGCTGGACTTGAAACAAGCCGACGTGGGAAAGTACGGAAGCCGAGAAAACAAATGTGTCGGCCAAGCCGCAGCAAGGACGTCCCAGCACGACTGCAGACAGCGTTATCCTGGCTGTGCAAAGTGACCACCGTAACACAGAATGGACGTCCCTCGGAGACAAATGGCAGACTTTTGCTTTCAGACAGAAACAACGCCTGCGTTCAAATTTTGGCCGTCAAGGGAAAAGGGACGTAGCTTGAGGGTTCAAACTGAACAGGTAGCAAGCTAGAAGGTTACTCGTGCTTCAGTTTAGCTCATCTTGCGCCAGAAAGTGCAGAAGGGGACAGAATAGAAAGTGTGGGGCCAGTTATACTGTAGGGGCATGTCTACAAAAAGCTCCGTAGGGTTGTGTGGAGGCCCTCTTGCAGCACAGATGTGTATTTGTCCTCACCGTCTCTGGAAAAGACGACCATAACACAGAATGAACGTCCCTCGGAGACAAAAGGCAGACTTTTTGTATTCCGCAGTAACCATGCCTGCGTTCAAATTTTGGCCGTCGAGGGAAGAGGGACGTAGCTTGAGGGTTCAAACTGAACAGATAGCAACCTAGAAGGTTACTCGTGCTTCACTTTAGCTCATCTTGCGCCAGAAAGTGCAGAAGGGGACAAAATAGAAAGTGTCGGGCCAGTTGTACTGTAGGGGCATGTCTGCAAAAAGCTCTGTAGGGTTGTGTGGAGGCCCTCTTGCAGCACATATGTGTATTTGTCCCTTCCCAACAAGTTGATAGTTGTACGTACCTATAATGGTTTTCTAATTACGAGCGAGCGGCAGCTCTTTGAAGTCTTGCTCGCGCTCTGGTGAGCCTTCAAACGACTAGCGGCTCCGCCGAGCGCGCGCCGCACGAGATGAATGAATTAAAATAATCTCGCGCGCATAGCGAACGTTCCTTTTACCCGAGGGAGCGCTTCAGAACAAAAAAGCAAATTGTGGTATCAAATGGTGAAGCGGTGAGCAATATCGAACCTGAAAATGACTGCTTTCGTGCGGGAAGTCGCATCAGTGCTCGTAGATTAAACTATCGACTCGATCCGAGGCAAACTACAGTCGTCGGGTCTTCTACGGAACGCGTGCTCACGTTTGACACCAACATCGCGGCTCGGAAACGAAAATTCAGCCTCGGAGGTCCGAACACATGTTCGGAAAGTACAATTGGCCGCCATGACCATGCCCACGGCAAGAGCGTCGTAGCATCGCGAAACCTTTTATTACACACGTTCAAAGTGGTGTCCGTAGAGTCTAGAAAGACCAAGGAACACATCGGTGCTAGCGGTGACGAGATACGACGAGTATTAATGAAGCGAGATCGAAGAAAGGATCGGTGCCTAAAGTGAGGAATGCGAATGGCTGGCTTCGATCCGAAAACTTTCAAACGTCGTTTATTTCGCGAAACTTGAGATGAGCTGACACGGTTTCACTGCACACACACTTTCATATGATGTTGTTTTCACGACCACAATCGATGAATGCACTCCAGCGGTTTTGAATATTCACGGGTGAACGATTGAACTTGGTCGGGGTTTTTAATCTCCAAGCAGATTCCCAAAAACCTGTTTTCGCGAGTATAACGAGTTCTAGACGAGCTGGAGCGATGAAAATTTAACAGTGCGTCTAAATTCAGAGCGCGATCATTCGCTGCGAATTAGAACCTTCTAACTATCGTAGTTTTCTTTATACGAGCATATGCCAAATCACAACACCACAGAATGAAGCCTTACACGTAAACTTTTTATTCGTAACTTTCTTATTAGATTAGCTACATCGATGAGACGCGCCTAGAATGTTCCTCGGAACATCCCACTCGCCTGGTTAAAATAAATGACCCAGCTAGCACTTGTGGATTGATATACTTGAATACAAAGTACAGAGATACAAAAAAAGAAGAGAAAACGCAAGTTCAAAGGCTGTATAGATAATACAACGCCGCTGACAGCGTCTTGCAATAAGCGCAACAGAGAACGTTAAAAGAATGCATGTGCTCGCTTTTGGGCGAGCACACACATAAAAAAACACATTTCTTTTTTTTTTTTCACGATTACCACAGGAAAAAGTCAAATTTCTGAATAATACTGATAAGGTACTTACTTTGTTTCCGCAGGTGTGCACAGCAGGGGCCTCTTTGTCCGTTTAACCTCAGATTGTTATATTATATTAAAAACGCAACACCAGGTAATCCGTAAAATGGGAGAGCGGAACAGGGGAAAATTGTAATGTAATAGCTCACAACAAAGTTGGGAGGAGTGGCAGTAGTGGGCAAGAGGAAAATTAAAACACCATGCAAAGAGTTGCACATGAAACAAACGCTCGATCGACTACAAAACATTGTCAGATATAAATCTGCGATGAGGTAGGCTGTTTCATTCTGTTATGGTTCTGGGAAAAGAGTATTTAAATGCATTTGTAAGCAGATCAAGACCCTATGGCGTCGGGAAGTATTTAAATTCTTTTTTTATATTTGGTTTCTATTCATTTACACTGCAGGCCATTTCCAATCCCCAAGCAGGGTGCGACGAGAAGGAACAAAAAAAATAACAGTAAACCGACAAATCTGGTACACTGGAGATCACAAAAAGAAAGAAGAAAAAACACAAGTTCAAAGGCTATGTATAGATATAATAGAACGCCGCTCATAGCGTCTTGCAATAAGCTCAAACATAAGAAAGAAGAATTTATGTCCTCGCTCTTTTTTTTTTCACGATTACCACGGGAAAAAATCAAATCTCTGAACAAACTGATAAGGTACTTACTTCGTTTCCGCAGGTGTGCACAGCAGGGGCTTCGTCCTCACAAGCAAAATACAAAACAACAGATTTCTCCGTTTTAACCTCACGTTTTATTAGGCTTGACGTCAAACTTTATTAGGCCGACAATGCAAGTTTCCGGACGAGCTGTCTCGATGAAAGCACACTTGTTCCTATTCAGTGAATTCGCACGAGCTAACACGATTTCATAAAAACACTTTTTGCTTGGAGCAAGTTCTCAGTTGCCATTCAAGCGGTCTTGATTAAGCACAGGTCATCCGCAGCTGAAGGAGGTCACTTGAAACGGAGGGCCAGCCGTGCAACTCGCTCTTGCGCTGCACAAAAAGACAATCTTTAGCGCCCTACATTAAAGATGCACCGAACGTTCTTACGCCATACACATATCTTTTTTTCTTTTCTTCCGTGCGTCAGAGAGTGATGAAACGTTTGAGTTCGTAGAGGCCGGCTTCCTAGCTCCGCGCCGCCGCCAATTCCGTGTTTGATAAAAAAAAAACTGCTCCGACTTTACTCAACAAGATTAACAATTTAATCAAACGTTTCGTCTCCCATCCGGGAAACATCGTCAGTGAAACCTACAAGCAGGAATGAGGGGAAAAAAACTCGATTCCGTGTTTCGCGTGAAAAGAACAAAAGAATTCGTGCAAGAAGTCGGCTCCAACGGTCGCCCATGCACGCTGTGCGGGTTCAGACATTGCCTTCTTTGCTTTAGCTCACTTCTCTTCACCAACTTTCTTTCGCGGCACATTTTTCACGTACCGGGGTCCCCCTCGAAAGAAAGCCCACCAGGAAAACCTAAGTAATCAAAACTTGGCCAAGCAGTCATTGAGTTAGAGAGGGATTTTTATAGCAGCGTATGATTTAAACAAGAATGTCGACGCGTTTCAGTTTAGAAATATCTGCAGCGACGTGGGGACGGCAACACACGACGTCGCACGAAGCTCAAAAAGTAACTCCCGCCGCGCAAAAACGTGGTTTTGTTTCACAGCATGACGGCATGTTTGGCATCCGATACACTAGAGACGAGATTTTTGAGACGACGAGTACACGAAACGCGAGACGTCGGGAAAAATCATGCAAGACCAAATAGACGATTGATACAGGGTACTTTGTGTCGGGTGGCGTCTTGTGCGACCTAGCTTACACAATTACGGTTCTCAGTTTAGTTTCGTTATTGAAAGGCGACCAAAATTGCTTCTTTGGCGCAGATTAGCCATATTTCGGTGAAATGTAGCAGGATGTAGCAAGGTTAGCCCCTTGGTGCAGTTTGGCGCAATTATCACATCACTGGTATTCCATCATTTCGCGATGGAATACGCGCTTCAAAATACACTTTATATCTTTGCCGAGCATGGACCTATCAAAAAAAGAACTTGCATCAAACACGCATAGGTAATTCTTGCTCGCGCTCTGGTAAAGAGCCTTCAAAAAAACGACCAGCCGCTCCGCCTATGTGCGCCTATATCAATATAGTAGATCCCATTAAAAGCCTTCTTTGCCGACACTCGAAAAAGCGTGCAGAATCTCTCCGAGAACAACATTTCCATCTACCAACCGCCGAGCACAACATAATCTCCTCGCAAAACGCACGCGCTCACACAAACAACGACTTTGGGCAAAGAACAAGGAAATGAGCAAATACCTTCTCGAGTTACGGTAATCCGACCTTCTTCCGTTCTCGGCTCCTTCTGAAAGTGAGCCCGGGCCCAGACAGAACACGCACAGCAACAGCCAGGCGCCGTTGAGGCGAGGGTGACTCATCCTTGCTCCGACAAAAACATCACGTGACCTGGAGTGAGAAAACACACAGAACCCAAACCGAAACCCTGGATCATGATGATGATACCTTCTCCAAACCCCTAACGGTCAAAACCCGCGCAAAAATGTCGACGCACGTCGTAACGGTACCCAGGGTGCTATTACGTTCTGTGTCGACCTTTTTCAACTAGAGCCTAGAATTACAACTCTTTAATTAAAACCGACCGAATCTAAAAACAAAAATATCTATTGTACCCTTTGTTGAAATGACAACACTTTTCTTTTCTATTCCAGAAATCCTCTCTCTGCCGCTAGTCCCTACCTCAGTCGCCCAACTTCACAAACGGCCGCCCAAATCCACGTCTGTGTGTGCGCTTCGTTGCGAGTCAAGAGAAGAGGGTGCGCGGGCGAGCTGGTGAATGTTAACAACGTTGAAATAGCCCGAGACTGGGGTAGAGAAGAAGCTTGAAATAGTAGAAGGGACAGAAAATGTCTATTTTCTGTCCCTTCTACGATTTGATGCTTCTACCCCAGTCTCGGGTGATTTCAAAACGGCCGTGCCCCGTCTCAACGTGGACGCTTCCGTGAACGTGTGTGTGTGTGTGCACTTTCCTGGTGAACTTTGGATTACTCTGGACTTTGGATAACATCTGGACCGCTAGACACCATGCAAGGAAAGGTATTTGAGAATGCTTCTATCTCTCTCTCTCGTGGTTTGAATAGGAGTCCGGACTATAAAGCGCTCGGCCGCGCTTCGAAATCTCTTCTTCGCGTAACAAATATTGATTAAAAAAAAAAGTATTCGCTTCTAAAATTTCTCTTATTCCCAGCGTCATGTACACGCATTTCTTGCGTGGAACAACGAATGAATAACTGCTATGTGCGTTTAATTCGATCTAGAAATCCCGTCGCGCCCGTTTGTTTACTATCTGCCTTCCAGGTTAGACAACGTTCCTTCAAAAAATCCTAAAAAATCACCAATTCGTGCTAGAAGTGCGTGCCTCGGACGAGAGGTAGCGAACATTAAGAGCCTTAGTTTGCGATTAAATAAGCTTCTGCACGCGCCTAATTAATACTCAAAGTCGCGCTTTCCCACACGGCCAATGCATGAATTTCGCTCTAAACGTGCCTCCCCTGCTCCTTCAAAAAATCACAAAAAATCACCAATTCGTGCTACAAGTCCCTGCTTCGGGCGAGAGTTAGCGAACAATTAGCGCCTTATTTTACGATTAAATAAGCTTCTGCACGCGCCTAATTAATACTCAAAGTCGCGCTTTCCCACACGGCCAATGCATGAATTTCGCTCTAAACGTGCCTCCCCTGCTCCTTCAAAAAATCACAAAAAATCACCAATTCGTGCTACAAGTCCCTGCTTCGGGCGAGAGTTAGCGAACAATTAGCGCCTTATTTTACGATTAAATAAGCTTCTGCACGCGCCTAATTAATACTCAAAGTCGCGCTTTCCCACACGGCCAATGCATGAATTTCGCTCTAAACGTGCCTCCCCTGCTGCTTCAAAAAATCACAAAAAATCACCAATTCGTGCTACAAGTCCCTGCTTCGGGCGAGAGTTAGCGAACAATTAGCGCCTTATTTTACGATTAAATAAGCTTCTGCACGCGCCTAATTAATACTCAAAGTCGCGCTTTCCCACACGGCCAATGCATGAATTTCGCTCTAAACGTGCCTCCCCTGCTGCTTCAAAAAATCACAAAAAATCACCAATTCGTGCTACAAGTCCCTGCTTCGGGCGAGAGTTAGCGAACAATTAGCGCCTTATTTTACGATTAAATAAGCTTCTGTACGCGCCTAATTAATACTCAAAGTCGCGCTTTCCCACACGGCCAATGCATGAATTTCGCTCTAAACGTGCCTCCCCTGCTCCTTCAAAAAATCACAAAAAATCACCAATTTGCGCTACAAGTCCCTGCTTCGGGCGAGAGTTAGCGAACAATTAGCGCCTTATTTTACGATTAAATAAGCTTCTGCACGCGCCTAATTAATACTCAAAGTCGCGCTTTCCCACACGGCCAATGCATGAATTTCGCTCTAAACGTGCCTCCCCTGCTGCTTCAAAAAATCACAAAAAATCACCAATTCGTGCTACAAGTCCCTGCTTCGGGCGAGAGTTAGCGAACAATTAGCGCCTTATTTTACGATTAAATAAGCTTCTGCACGCGCATAATTAATACTCAAAGTCGCGCTTTCCCACACGGCCAATGCATGAATTTCGCTCTAAACGTGCCTCCCCTGCTGCTTCAAAAAATCACAAAAAATCACCAATTCGTGCTACAAGTCCCTGCTTCGGGCGAGAGTTAGCGAACAATTAGCGCCTTATTTTACGATTAAATAAGCTTCTGTACGCGCCTAATTAATACTCAAAGTCGCGCTTTCCCACACGGCCAATGCATGAATTTCGCTCTAAACGTGCCTCCCCTGCTGCTTCAAAAAATCACAAAAAATCACCAATTCGTGCTACAAGTCCCTGCTTCGGGCGAGAGTTAGCGAACAATTAGCGCCTTATTTTACGATTAAATAAGCTTCTGCACGCGCCTAATTAATACTCAAAGTCGCGCTTTCCCACACGGGCAATGCATGAATTTCGCTCTAAACGTGCCTCCCCTGCTCCTTCAAAAAATCACAAAAAATCACCAATTCGTGCTACAAGTCCCTGCTTCGGGCGAGAGTTAGCGAACAATTAGCGCCTTATTTTACGATTAAATAAGCTTCTGCACGCGCCTAATTAATACTCAAAGTCGCGCTTTCCCACACGGCCAATGCATGAATTTCGCTCTAAACGTGCCTCCCCTGCTGCTTCAAAAAATCACCAATTCGTGCTACAAGTCCCTGCTTCGGGCGAGAGTTAGCGAACAATTAGCGCCTTATTTTACGATTAAATAAGCTTCTGCACGCGCCTAATTAATACTCAAAGTCGCGCTTTCCCTCACGGCCAATGCATGAATTTCGCTCTAAACGTGCCTCCCCTGCTGCTTCAAAAAATCACAAAAAATCACCAATTCGTGCTACAAGTCCCTGCTTCGGGCGAGAGTTAGCGAACAATTAGCGCCTTATTTTACGATTAAATAAGCTTCTGCACGCGCCTAATTAATACTCAAAGTCGCGCTTTCCCACACGGCCAATGCATGAATTTCGCTCTAAACGTGCCTCCCCTGCTGCTTCAAAAAATCACCAATTCGTGCTACAAGTCCCTGCTTCGGGCGAGAGTTAGCGAACAATTAGCGCCTTATTTTACGATTAAATAAGCTTCTGCACGCGCCTAATTAATACTCAAAGTCGCGCTTTCCCTCACGGCCAATGCATGAATTTCGCTCTAAACGTGCCTCCCCTGCTGCTTCAAAAAATCACAAAAAATCACCAATTCGTGCTACAAGTCCCTGCTTCGGGCGAGAGTTAGCGAACAATTAGCGCCTTATTTTACGATTAAATAAGCTTCTGCACGCGCCTAATTAATACTCAAAGTCGCGCTTTCCCACACGGCCAATGCATGAATTTCGCTCTAAACGTGCCTCCCCTGCTGCTTCAAAAAATCACCAATTCGTGCTACAAGTCCCTGCTTCGGGCGAGAGTTAGCGAACAATTAGCGCCTTATTTTACGATTAAATAAGCTTCTGCACGCGCCTAATTAATACTCAAAGTCGCGCTTTCCCTCACGGCCAATGCATGAATTTCGCTCTAAACGTGCCTCCCCTGCTGCTTCAAAAAATCACAAAAAATCACCAATTCGTGCTACAAGTCCCTGCTTCGGGCGAGAGTTAGCGAACAATTAGCGCCTTATTTTACGATTAAATAAGCTTCTGCACGCGCCTAATTAATACTCAAAGTCGCGCTTTCCCACACGGCCAATGCATGAATTTCGCTCTAAACGTGCCTCCCCTGCTGCTTCAAAAAATCACCAATTCGTGCTACAAGTCCCTGCTTCGGGCGAGAGTTAGCGAACAATTAGCGCCTTATTTTACGATTAAATAAGCTTCTGCACGCGCCTAATTAATACTCAAAGTCGCGCTTTCCCACACGGGCAATGCATGAATTTCGCTCTAAACGTGCCTCCCCTGCTGCTTCAAAAAATCACAAAAAATCACCAATTCGTGCTACAAGTCCCTGCTTCGGGCGAGAGTTAGCGAACAATTAGCGCCTTATTTTACGATTAAATAAGCTTCTGCACGCGCCTAATTAATACTCAAAGTCGCGCTTTCCCACACGGCCAATGCATGAATTTCGCTCTAAACGTGCCTCCCCTGCTGCTTCAAAAAATCACAAAAAATCACCAATTCGTGCTACAAGTCCCTGCTTCGGGCGAGAGTTAGCGAACAATTAGCGCCTTATTTTACGATTAAATAAGCTTCTGCACGCGCCTAATTAATACTCAAAGTCGCGCTTTCCCTCACGGCCAATGCATGAATTTCGCTCTAAACGTGCCTCCCCTGCTGCTTCAAAAAATCACAAAAAATCACCAATTCGTGCTACAAGTCCCTGCTTCGGGCGAGAGTTAGCGAACAATTAGCGCCTTATTTTACGATTAAATAAGCTTCTGCACGCGCCTAATTAATACTCAAAGTCGCGCTTTCCCTCACGGCCAATGCATGAATTTCGCTCTAAACGTGCCTCCCCTGCTGCTTCAAAAAATCACAAAAAATCACCAATTCGTGCTACAAGTCCCTGCTTCGGGCGAGAGTTAGCGAACAATTAGCGCCTTATTTTACGATTAAATAAGCTTCTGCACGCGCCTAATTAATACTCAAAGTCGCGCTTTCCCTCACGGCCAATGCATGAATTTCGCTCTAAACGTGCCTCCCCTGCTGCTTCAAAAAATCACAAAAAATCACCAATTCGTGCTACAAGTCCCTGCTTCGGGCGAGAGTTAGCGAACAATTAGCGCCTTATTTTACGATTAAATAAGCTTCTGCACGCGCCTAATTAATACTCAAAGTCGCGCTTTCCCTCACGGCCAATGCATGAATTTCGCTCTAAACGTGCCTCCCCTGCTGCTTCAAAAAATCACAAAAAATCACCAATTCGTGCTACAAGTCCCTGCTTCGGGCGAGAGTTAGCGAACAATTAGCGCCTTATTTTACGATTAAATAAGCTTCTGCACGCGCCTAATTAATACTCAAAGTCGCGCTTTCCCACACGGGCAATGCATGAATTTCGCTCTAAACGTGCCTCCCCTGCTGCTTCAAAAAATCACAAAAAATCACCAATTCGTGCTACAAGTCCCTGCTTCGGGCGAGAGTTAGCGAACAATTAGCGCCTTATTTTACGATTAAATAAGCTTCTGCACGCGCCTAATTAATACTCAAAGTCGCGCTTTCCCTCACGGCCAATGCATGAATTTCGCTCTAAACGTGCCTCCCCTGCTGCTTCAAAAAATCACAAAAAATCACCAATTCGTGCTACAAGTCCCTGCTTCGGGCGAGAGTTAGCGAACAATTAGCGCCTTATTTTACGATTAAATAAGCTTCTGCACGCGCCTAATTAATACTCAAAGTCGCGCTTTCCCACACGGCCAATGCATGAATTTCGCTCTAAACGTGCCTCCCCTGCTGCTTCAAAAAATCACCAATTCGTGCTACAAGTCCCTGCTTCGGGCGAGAGTTAGCGAACAATTAGCGCCTTATTTTACGATTAAATAAGCTTCTGCACGCGCCTAATTAATACTCA